AACGGCTGACGCATAACTTCGTCGATACCGCGAAATCCGTTGATCTCAGAAAATTTTGCCATGAGGAAAAGTTATTGTACTGTCGTAGCACAATTCGGCACAAAAATATTCAAAAATACCAAATTTTTTGTTTACCCCCACCACGTTTTTAACCATTTCCGTCGTCCCTTCTGTCATTCCAGACCTTTTATGAACGTTTCGCATAGACTTTGAGTAGCACAACTCGGTACAACTCGCAGAATTCGATTATCTTGTACCGTTCGCGAGATACAGGGGTTTTCAGTTTCGCGTTTCTAAAAATTCCTAAGGCCAGCATGGAATTTTTTTTTGGAAAACGGTTCATGTTATTGAGTTGCGGTTTGCGGCACAATGTGGCACAAACGTAGCACAACACAGCACAATAAAAAAAAAATCCAAAATTCGAAAAGTGCGGGGCTAGCAAATTTTTTTTTTTTTTTTTTTGGAAACGGTTTATGCTATTGAATTGCGGTTTGCGGCATAATGTGGCACAAACGTAGCACAACACAGCACAATAAAAAAAAATCCAAAATTCGAAAAGTGCGGGGCCAACTTCACACACGTCCGAAATTTTGAGAATGCTTAAGTCATAGTTCGGGCATAACACTCTTAAAGAGACTCAAGTGTAGGCATGGCACAAATAATTTTTAGGACGAGAAGCAATTGAAAATTAAGGTCGTCGACGGTCGACTTTCAGTTGGAAAGGTTCTTGCAACTGTATTTTTTTATTTCAAAACACTGAATAATAAATTTTTTGTCTGTCACATTAATCGTATCACGTATCATCTTTACGCAAATCCACTCCTCACACACGTTTGATCGATTTACTAACGAATTTATCAGTTTGTTATTATTAATCACTACCGATTAATTAATTAGCGATTGAGAATTGACTCGAGAAAGAAACACATTACAATAATCAAGGTTTTCCTCCTTTTATAAATTGTATCGCGTATCAATAATTTCACGGATTTATCCACGCACTTGATTGATTTTTACATACATATGAATCTTTTACCTACAAATCGATGAATCACTCCCGATTGATCATTCAGCGACTGAAAATTATTGCTTGATAGAAAGAAACACATTGCACACAGTAATTGTATTCAAAAGTTTTCTTTCTTTTGTAAATTGTATCACGTATCAATACCTTCAAGGATTCATCCGATTTTTATAAATGAATCTACTGGCTCACTGCTATTAATCACTGCCGATTAATTATTCGGCAACTAAGAAGTACTCTTCCCTCAAAGAGGGAAATACAAATTGCATACACATGATAATCAACAAGATCACATTCCATCGCAAATCAATACGGTCACGGATTTACACATGCACTTGAACGGAAAATGACGAATTTATTATCCTTATTATGGTTAATATCACAATCAAATGCTACCGATTAATTATTCAACGAGTTGAAATTACTGGAGCGTGTAATACTACATACACAACACACGTTACTCGATGTCAACAAGTCGACGGGTAAAGTTGGTACTGGGTGCGTTCGTGAATGCACACACGACGGTGTAGGTTAGGTATCATTTTTATCCTCTTTACATCTGTTCTTTATTCCTGCACTG